GGAAATAAGGAGATGAGACAAGAGGGGAGGATGAGAAATGAGGAGGAGGAGGGGGGCAGAGGATGACAGCAGCGTGAGGGAGAGGAGGAGCGAAGCAGTGGGAGGAGAATGGAGGAAGATTAGAGGGGGAGGTATGAGAGAAGTGAAGGTGATGTGCACAATGACAAAGCAGAGCGAGAGAGAGGAAGGAGGAGGAGGAGGACTGAAGAAGAGTGATGTGTTCAGAAAAAAGAGGAGAGATGGTGAAGGGGAAAAATGAGTGAAAAGTGAAAAGGAAAGGAAGAAGAGAGGAAGAGTAGGTGGTGTTAGAACTGGAATGAGATTTTTCCACGTTTTTAGAAGTGACGTCCAAAATTAAAGTTTGATATCTCCACTGGAAGCTACTAAGGACGGGCACTGGGCAAAAATATAATTTTATATTGACTGATAATTTTACAGCTTTTCTTCCTTTGCTAAACTTGCAAAGTCATGAGCATAAAAGATGTGCGTGCTTTAAACCTGCATTCTTATGCCCAAAAGCTTCTGTATTATAGAGGTGTGTGGGGAAAACAGCCTGTGTCCATGACATCAGCAACACTTTGCTGATGAGTTTATAGGTTCAGTCAAAATTTTAGGGTCACATTGAATAGGAAAGGTTTAAATGTTAGAAAGGAGGATTATTATTGTGATCGATAACTTATTGTTTGCATCAAGGCGTTTTGTGTTGTAAGGTAAAGACCCTACAATAATACAGAGACAACTCCTCGTTCAGATATCATGACCCAGTATGAGAAAGCACTTGGCGAAAGTAGGAAGAAAATAATAAATAATAATAAAATTAAGTAGATTTCTTTGAGGTACTTTAAGTAGAATCATATCCATTATATTGGGACTTTCATGGTGTAGGTAGAGATGTTTTTAATTTGTCTACTGCTGGGTAGCTTTTGGTGTAATAATACAGGATCATTTTCTACTGGTGCTTCAAACTGAAGAGGGTGAAAACCGTCCAAGTGCAATAAAACTATGTTAGAAGTTCTGCAGGTCAGGGTGAACCGTGCAG